GGGGCTCCGAGAATGATGTGCGGACCCGCGGGCGTGGTGTCGGTACCGCGGGGCTCGGACCGGCGCCCCCGACCCCAAACTTCGCTGGACCCCCGAAGCTTTGGGGAGCCGCGCACCCGGTACCCCTCACCCCGCTTTGCTGCGAGCAGCCCCTCCTGACCCCCAACCCCGCCGCGGAAGCAGGTTTGGGAATGAAATTCCTTAATGAAAGGGGTTTTCCTGAGGAATTCGCCCCCCCCGCCGAAGGGATGCGCCTGAACAAACGCCGGCGCGGGAGGAGGGACAGAGGGATGGACGGCTCGGGATGCGGGGTGCGGATGCGGCGSGGACCGACCGTGCTAAAACCTGGGAAAGGACCAACCTCCGAGCCGCGGGCTTCCCTCCTCTTCCTCCCGCGGGGCCGGCGGCACCGAACGGGAGCGGCCGCGGCCATCGCCGCTCCGGGATCGCCGCACGGACCGAGGCTTTTGTCCCCCGGCTGCGGCGGGGGCTGGCGGAGGAGCTTCGCACTTCGGCAGAAAGGAGACGAAATTCGATTCGTTTACATGTTTTATTGTTGTAAACATTAAAATTGTCTTTCTCAAAGAAAGAGTTCTCGGGAGAAAAAATAATAATAATAATAATAATCATAATAATAATAATAATAATAATCCGCGTTTCTAACTGTCGTACACCATATTAAAAAAAGGCAGCGACTTTCCCGTGTGCCAAACCGGGGTATACCAAGAAAAATACTACAGAATATGGCAATATTAAAAATATTACTCGAACATAAAATAATATATTAACCGACAATTTTTAGACATAAAAAAAAAACCAAACAGAACAAAACAAACCCAAAATTCAAAGTGCTCAGTAATTTCCAGGGAGTTATGTATAGTATAAGCACTCTGGAAACAGTCAAAAGCTGCTGCATGCAAGATCTGTTTAGCTTTAGACAACAAAATAATCAAGATATAAACTTCTTCTTTAATCAACATCAACAGTACATACAACACTTACAAACAAGGGGTGTCGGGCGGTGTTTACAAACACTATGTGTCCCTTTGGGGGGGAATTCCGGGGGTAACACTTGTGCCCACCTATTTTACAATTGAGAAAATGTTTGAAGCTTAGATAACTACCAGTCTTTATAAAAGCTACCAGACTACATAGTGTCTGAAATACTATTTATAGAATATAGACATTACTGAAATAGCAAGTGCCTATAACATTGTCACCCTGGAATCGTCATGCTTCCCTGGTATGGACAGATTGGGTTTTCTTTTTTTTTTTTAGTTCTCCTTTTCTTTTTTTAAATTTTAATTTTTTTTTCTCCAAATACATTTAGCTTTTATTTTTAATTTTTTTTWAATTGTTTTCCATGTTTCATCATAAATAGGCACAGAATAATTTTTTTTTAAAAAGCCAAACTTGCATCTGATAAATTTACAAGCCTTTGCCTTCGTTAATGCCACGCCACCCACACAACGTTTGGGGGTTTGGGTATATTACAGCTTTCTTTTACAGCAGAAAACTTTAGTCTTTAGGAGGGTGAGACTTGTGGGTCACCTCAACGCTCGGTGTTTTCACCGCGTGAGTCTGAGCCAGGCAGGCTTGTCTTTCCAACCAGAAGTCCTTAATAATAAATTCATTTAGAAGCCGATAAGAAAAAGTTTATACCATGGTATTTGTGTAGTCCATGAGCTGCATCCATGATGCCCCAGAGCCAAAATGCCCATCGCGTTCTGCCTGCAGGGGTTTGGGTGGGAGCTGGCACCCAGGGGTGCTGCTCTGGGCCCAGACCAGCTCCCCTTCAGGCAGCTGSAGCTTCTCCTCGGGTCAGTGGAAGCACACGGGAAGAGTCTTAAAAAGGTAAAGTGTCCAGRAAAAGTTTGTCAATTATTGCTGGCGGTGGCACCAAATCTTCCAGTTTCAGGTAGAAAATGCGCTGCAGCCCCTGTGTGCAAAGCGTGCGGAGTTCGGGGAGCTTCCCCAAGAGTTTGGACAAATAGTTGGGGCGATTGAGCCCCCCGTTATTGAAAGTCACATGGTCTTTGAGACAATTTACAATCTTGTTCTGAAGCTCTTCCACCCTCTTGGGTTCCTTAAGCCCGTGCCTCTCTGCAAAGAGAAGGGTGGGGGATGTTACGGATCTGACACGGAGAAAGGCGGGCAGGGGACGGGAACGGGGYGGGAAGGGGGACACTGACCTGTCACCATGGCCAGGGCAGCGATGCAAGAGAAGGCAGAGATGTCGATGTTCATGTTTTGCAAGTTGGAGGAAAATTCCACAATGGAATCGATCCACTCCCCAAAGCCACGGACGCACTGCAACCGGTGCAGGACCACCCCGTTGCAGAAAATCAGCTTTCCCTCCACGGGGTTGGACCTGGAAGGAAGGGGACAACCCCAAAATGAACTGATGGATGAATGAGAGAGGGAGGAAAATTAGACAGAAAGAGAAAAAGGAAGAAATTAAAGAGAAGGACAGGAGATAAGAGAAAGACAGAATGGGTGAAAGGAAGAAAGTGAGAAAGATAAG